CTTCCCGACGTGTGTGTGTTGCTGAACCAATATTTCACAAGGCGATCGGACCGTCCAGCGCAGCGTCCAGCGTGGCGAGTGATTGAAATGTGGTATAATGCGGTGATTATCGCGCGCCGTCTCAGCCCCGCCCCACCCCGCCCCACCCCGCCACGCCACGCCCCATTCGCAGCACTCATTACACGTGTATAGCGCAAGGCGCACCTCCAGCCAGCCCCGCCGCTCGGCGCTGGTCAACTCGAATCAATTATCGGCCAAAGTTTTGCCGCTGTGTGGAATGGACGGAGGACATGCACACTGGACGCGTGACCGGCGGTGAGGGGGGCTATCGGCGGAACACGAAAGGCGGTGTATATGGGGCTGCCAGCGGCGCTGATAACACCTGCAGAATAGCTCAATCACTTATTGTGTTTTTCTTTCCCCAAAAAAACTTCTTTTTTTTCAAAAATTGTTATGGTTTATTTTTCTAACTAGTTTTAACAATGGAAACAGTACATACCTTCTCTTATTGTTGTTGCTGCATGTCACTTCTCTTGGCAGCCCATCGGCGCTGCTGGCAAGGGCGCGCGTGATCCTGCTGAACTGATTTCTAAGGGCCTTGATGTGACACCACGCGCCTGCAGGGGGCCCGCGCCCCGCTGCCGCGCCGCTGCCCTGCCCGCGCGCTGTTCTCTTCTCTGTTCGGCCCCATTGCACTCCGGGAGGTGTGCCCTTAATTAAATATAAGCAGCGCCACGCCACGAGAGAACAAGACTCCTGCCGGCTGCCTTAATTGCGCGGAGTGTCGCCGTCGGCGTGGCGTGGGCGACGCGTCTTGTTAACGGCGCTATAGGCCCCTCCAGGGTCCCTCGGTGGGGGCGCCCGCGCAGCGCCGCGAAGCACAGCGCAGCGAGGTGGGGAGCCCGCCGCGCCCCGCACGCGGCCTGCGCAGCTGCTGCTGCTGGTGGTCGAGCTGGTGGAGGTGGTGGTGGAGGTGGTGGTGGAGGTGGTGGTGGAGGGGGAGGTGGTGGTTGTGGAGGTGGTGGGGGTGCTGCCTCTGCTGCCTCTACTGCCTGCCTCAGCTTGCCTCTGCTGCCTCTACTGCCTCAGCTGCTGCCTCTGCTGCCGCTGCTGCTGCCGGGGCTGGCGCCATTGTCCTGCCGCTATCTGCATGAATAGCCAGGACCACAGCAGGACACAGGACACGCGGGGCGTGGCGTGGCGGGGCGTTGGTGGGAGGACGCGGGGGCGGCGCAGGCACACACCTGGCGGCAGCCCCTGCTGCTCGTCGCAATGGTCGTCGTGTGTGAGTATGAGAAATAAAGGACGAACGCCGCGATGTGTGAAGAGATATGTTTTATTGACGGCGGCAGTCTTATTATTATTATTACTATTATATTGATCTTTCCGCACCACTTCGTGTCACAGAAGAGGAACCACAAATATGATGTACTTCATTGGGGCGCTGCGTAGTCGAGACTTGGTGTTCGATCCTCGGCCCGGGTGAAAACTCACACTCTGGCGCACGCACTGGGCCCGGGGCGACCGACCCCACCAGCCCCGCCGGGCTCTGATGGCTGACCAGGCCGCCCCGCCCCGCCCCGCCCCGACCCGCCGAGACAAGTCAATTACGGACAAACAAGCGAAACGCAGCGCCGCCGAGGCGAGAGAGGGACCTGCAGCCTTTGGGCTGCCTTTGGCCTGCCTGTGGGCTGCCTTGAGCTGCCTTTGGGCTGGGCTGCTTGCCTGCGCCCGCCTTTTGCCCCGAACCAACAAAAACAATAGAGGAAAGGCGGCCGGCTTATCAAGAAAATTGAGCAATTATTAAGGCTATCCATAACGCTGCCGCGCGCTCCGTCAGCCTGCCTCCCCCTGCCCCACCCCCCTTCTCGCCTTCCCCTCCTCTTCCTCGCCCCCTCTCAACCCCCACGCCTTGCTCCCTGCTCGCTTCCGTTTCCCCACTTCCCCTCCCTCCCCTATCTTCCATCCATCCATCCATCCATCCATCCCAACCATGTCATCCACACACAGAAAATCGCAAGCTGTATTTGTGGGCCCCTCTGACCCGACGTCTGAAACAAACGAAAGAAAATCCCTTTAAAACGATAAGGTAAAAATTTCGTTTTCAATTTTCAATAAGGTAACACTGGAAAATCAAAGGTCGGAATCAACACCCTTCTTGGGGTGTTAATGACTTTTTGTTAATGACTTTTACAGAGCCACCACAAAATACTCATCCCTGGAGAGGCTCTTGAAATGCCCTAAAAAAGCTAAATTTTAGTGCCTTTGAACACGTTCGTGCCTTTCTAAAGGCATTAAAAAGGCACTAAGTCATACCCCTTTTTTCCAGTGAGTGATTGGTTGGGTGCATACCAGGAGGCGTTTTCCGAATATCTATTGATGCAATGAGAGAAATTATCTATGAGCCATACATGCGTCCGTCCATCCATATGTATTCATCTACCCACACATCCCCCCCTCCCCTTCCTAGGTGTCGGCGGCCCTGTGTTGTGACCGTCTGATCGGCCCCACTTTGGACCTGATTTATCTCTTCCCAGCCTACTCATTACACTTTACTACTGCCACTATCCGTATGGGCCCGCCGCCGCCGGGATCCCGCCAGGTGGGTGACGTGCAACAAAAAAGTGCAACAACAACAAGAACGGCCTGCACCCGACCGAGGCCGGCCGGCCCAGCAGCAAGGCGAGAACGAGAAACACAGAAGTGAGACGTTAAAGAATGAAGGGAAAAAATAAAGAAAGGAGTGAGAAAGAGAGGAAAAAAAGTGGTGGGTGTCGGTGCAGGGCGGCTCTAATTGCGTGAAAAGTATAATCCCTCCGACCCATCAGCCTATAACTCGCGGCGCCTCAAGTGCCTTGTTTGCAGCTCCCGCCGGCGGAGCTCAGCGCAGCCAGCGGAGCTCTCTCACTGATTAAATAATTATTGGCTTCCTGTTCGCTACCATACCGCCGCTCCGCCTGGCCAGCGTCGTCAGGGAGGCCATCAGCCGGACGCGCAGACGACGGTGTCGGTGGTCCGTGCGAAATGTACTAGGCGATGGGCGATAGGTGGTGCACCACCTATCGCACCACCTATCAACAACATGTTGTTGATAAGGTGCAATCACCTTAGTTGGTGGTGGTGGTGGTGGTGGTGGTTGTTGTTGTTGTTGTTGTGGTTGTTGTGCTGGTGGTGGTTGTTGTGCTGGTGGTTGTTTCAAAGTTTTGAAAGAAATGAAAAAGCGGCATCAGCTCTGAGTTTTATTTTCTGCACAATGTACCGACCGACGACGCCGTGGATGAGACTACTACTTCTCGTACCGCCTGCCTAGTTTGCTGTGAGTTAGCGCGGGTAAACGCGGCGCCCGCGGCGTCTACCGAACGCCTGGCTCCGCCCCCGCCCGCCACTTCAGGGAGTGAAATATTAAATAGCTGATAAATAAAGAGCAACGCCCCTCGGCTTTTTCACCCCCGGCTTGCCGCGGCCTGGCCCCGCCCCCAGCGGCATACTAATGCACCTGGCGAGGTGTCACGATCAACCTCCTGCAGATCCGTTAGGCTTTTCTTCATCTGACCTTGGTGGACGGCGTAAGAGGACGGCTAATCCTCCAATAAGTGAAATCGTATTAATTACGCTTTACCGTCATTTATGCTGTTGTTTTCTTTTTCTCTTCCCCCCGCCTCCCGGCGAAGGAGCTGGCAGGCTTCCCGACGTGTGTGTGTTGCTGAACCAATATTTCACAAGGCGATCGGACCGTCCAGCGCAGCGTCCAGCGTGGCGAGTGATTGAAATGTGGTATAATGCGGTGATTATCGCGCGCCGTCTCAGCCCCGCCCCACCCCGCCCCACCCCGCCACGCCACGCCCCATTCGCAGCACTCATTACACGTGTATAGCGCAAGGCGCACCTCCAGCCAGCCCCGCCGCTCGGCGCTGGTCAACTCGAATCAATTATCGGCCAAAGTTTTGCCGCTGTGTGGAATGGACGGAGGACATGCACACTGGACGCGTGACCGGCGGTGAGGGGGGCTATCGGCGGAACACGAAAGGCGGTGTATATGGGGCTGCCAGCGGCGCTGATAACACCTGCAGAATAGCTCAATCACTTATTGTGTTTTTCTTTCCCCAAAAAAACTTCTTTTTTTTCAAAAATTGTTATGGTTTATTTTTCTAACTAGTTTTAACAATGGAAACAGTACATACCTTCTCTTATTGTTGTTGCTGCATGTCACTTCTCTTGGCAGCCCATCGGCGCTGCTGGCAAGGGCGCGCGTGATCCTGCTGAACTGATTTCTAAGGGCCTTGATGTGACACCACGCGCCTGCAGGGGGCCCGCGCCCCGCTGCCGCGCCGCTGCCCTGCCCGCGCGCTGTTCTCTTCTCTGTTCGGCCCCATTGCACTCCGGGAGGTGTGCCCTTAATTAAATATAAGCAGCGCCACGCCACGAGAGAACAAGACTCCTGCCGGCTGCCTTAATTGCGCGGAGTGTCGCCGTCGGCGTGGCGTGGGCGACGCGTCTTGTTAACGGCGCTATAGGCCCCTCCAGGGTCCCTCGGTGGGGGCGCCCGCGCAGCGCCGCGAAGCACAGCGCAGCGAGGTGGGGAGCCCGCCGCGCCCCGCACGCGGCCTGCGCAGCTGCTGCTGCTGGTGGTCGAGCTGGTGGAGGTGGTGGTGGAGGTGGTGGTGGAGGTGGTGGTGGAGGGGGAGGTGGTGGTTGTGGAGGTGGTGGGGGTGCTGCCTCTGCTGCCTCTACTGCCTGCCTCAGCTTGCCTCTGCTGCCTCTACTGCCTCAGCTGCTGCCTCTGCTGCCGCTGCTGCTGCCGGGGCTGGCGCCATTGTCCTGCCGCTATCTGCATGAATAGCCAGGACCACAGCAGGACACAGGACACGCGGGGCGTGGCGTGGCGGGGCGTTGGTGGGAGGACGCGGGGGCGGCGCAGGCACACACCTGGCGGCAGCCCCTGCTGCTCGTCGCAATGGTCGTCGTGTGTGAGTATGAGAAATAAAGGACGAACGCCGCGATGTGTGAAGAGATATGTTTTATTGACGGCGGCAGTCTTATTATTATTATTACTATTATATTGATCTTTCCGCACCACTTCGTGTCACAGAAGAGGAACCACAAATATGATGTACTTCATTGCCTTTTACAATAATTTCCCCAGACGCAAAACACTATTTCACTTCTTTGATCCATTAACCTCCCCAGTGGTTATCCGTGTTACATAAACAAATAACGACATAAACTAACATAAATAAATTAAAACAGGAACAGGTGATAATACTTTTTCTTTTCTTTGTCTAAGTCTCTAGCTCACTTTTACATTATATACAAACAATTTTCCTTAAAATATGCTCGCATTGACATGATATGCGCTGTGTCAGACGGGTCGCGGTGACGGCGACCTTCTCGACAGCAGCGACTCAATGCTGAAGGGGTTGAGCCGGCGGGCCTTGATGGCCGCCGGGGGCAGCAGGGTCACGGGGGCGGCGGGCGGCCGCTCGGTCTTGACGGCGGCGAGGGGCGGCAGCGGGGGCGCCAGGGGCGCCAGGGGTGGCAGGGGTGGAAGCGCTCTCCGCCGGTCCAGCTGCCTGGCAGGGGACGCGGGGCCGCGGGACGCCGCCGGGCCGGGGCTGGGGCAGGGGCTGGCGCAGGGGCTGGCGCCGGGGCTCGGGCAGGGCCGCCGCTCCGGGCTCGGGCTGCACCCCCTCTTTACGTAGTTGATCGCCTCCGGGACCTCCGTCCTCCTGGAAAAAGAAGGTCGGTGAGGGGGTTGGTTGAGGAGTAAAGAGGAAGAAGGAGGCAGCCGTTATCGCAGATGGTGTGTGGCGTGGCCGGCTTGTGGTTCTTTGGAAGACGCTGCTGGAGCAGTGCAAGTATAGGGAAACATTTTAGATAGTCCCCAAGGCTGGCTTTTTTGGGGCACCAAGAATTCTACATTAAAAGAAGCAACAACATAATATTGGAAGAAAAATAAGTGAACAAGACAACTATCCCTACAACGAACGGAAAATGCGCAGAAAACTTTCTCAAAAGTAACGAGACTGTTGAGATTTTTTTTTCACCTCTGGTGTAAGATTCTACTTGTTCTTCTGAGACCCCGCGGCCTTGCTCGGCGCTGGCGCTGTGCTGGCGCAGGGTAACCGTTCCACGGGCGGCGCGTCCCCGCCGATACACCTCTGATCGGATCATTAATCCCGCCCGCTCAGAGCGCCCGCTCGTCACGAGGCTCGTCACTTGTCGCGTCAGGCCGGCACCGCAAGGAAGGTCGGCCCATCACACACGCTCGCGCCGCCGCCGCACCGCGCCGCGCTCATCCATGATCGATTATAATTACCCACGTGCATGCCCGACCTGCTTTCGTATCGTCACGCGGCTGCCGAAGGCTGAGCTCCGACCGACAGTCTTCGCGGACGGTGGGGAAGCGAGCGAGGCGAGAGCGCGGGCGCGAACAATTGTTTGAAATCGCGCAGGACGCGTTCTGCTGAGCGACAATCGCGACAAACTCTTTTGTCAATACGCACCTGTGGTAATCGTCGTCGGTCAGGCCCAGCAGACGGTTCCGGTGCTGGTGGTGCCGGTCGTCGACGGCCTCCTCGTCGACGAGCTCCTCCCGGTCGTCGGCCTCGTCGCCCACCACGTCGATCTCGCGGTGGTCGCCCAGGCGCGAGCTGATCTCGCTGCAGCCGCTGGACCAGTCGCAGTGCAGCTGCGGCGGCGGTATGTGCCAGGTGGGGTGCGCGGCCCCGCGTTGCTCTCCGCCCCCAGCCCCGGAGTGGCTCAGCGGGTTGTTGTTGCTGCCACCGCCGCCGCCGCCGCCGTGACCGCCGTTGTTCTTGTTGCTCTTAGCCTTCTGCTGAGCCTCCCACTCGGTGCGCAGCGTCTCCAGGTCTACGGTGATGCCCTTCGCCGCCAGCTTCCTCTGCAACAAATGCAAGGATTTTGTTTAGAAGAAAACCTCTTAATTGTTTCAAGAGAAGTTTCAAGTTTTTCAAATTTTTCTGGAAATATTTCAATTTTTTTGCATTTTCCTGGGAACATTTCCGATATTTCGGAAAGATCTTCAGACTTTAAAATCCCCCCGCAGCGAGAGATGAAACGGCAGCCTGCTCACCTGCTGCCGCTCGAGGGACTTCTTGATCTTCTTCTCGCGCCGGTCCTGCTCCTTGCGCCGCAACTCCTCCTCGGGGATGGGCTGACCGCTGCAGGTCTGCGGGTGCGCGTTGTGCGCCGGCCGCCCAGGGCCCTTCTTGGTGTGCTCCTTCTTGCGCCACTTGGCGCGCCGGTTCTGAAACCACACCTGCAAGAAAGAAGAATGAGCTGTGCTTAAATTTTTAACAGAAAAAAGAAATGAATCAAACGGAATGGTTTTGCAGTAGCATTTTAAGAAGCGGCAGTGGGCTGCAGCCGCCTCGTCATCCTGCAAATAACGCTACACGTAAAGCCCAGCCCGCGGATGTTTTGTTTTGGCCGTGACAGGTAGCACTGGCGGCACCCGGCCTGGTCCGGCGGTAGCATTGTGCTCGGTACGTCTCATCAGCGAGTGCGTCTTCTCTAATGTTTTTGCCCGGCCGTCCGACACGGGACATCCATCTTGTTCACACCCCCCTTCCCTCCTCCTGGCGCCTGTGGTCCGCATCGCGTGACGGCGCCCTTGTCTGTCTCTCTTTACCTCCGTTTGAGGCACTTTGCACTTAGCGATACCTTAAACATCTTGCTCAAAGGGTTCTAAACGCAACCGACGTGTTCGATTTTGCATCCGTTGATGAAAATTTTACTTATTTGAGGACAGCGCACATATTTTCGTCAGTCGTAATGTCCTTCGCGCACAGGTTATAACAATAGACCGCTACGCGGAACGGTGGTGTACGGACACGAGACGCGCGTCGCCTCGCTGCCACCTTTACGACGGCCGCACACTCTAAATGGGGAGGGACAATTTTTGTACCTTAGTTAGATGTGTCTTTGAGCACATCTTCATCAGATACAAATTTGTCTGTACAGAGGTACAAAGTGTACCTAGGCTAGGTACAAATGCTATATTTTGTATGTGACTTGGATGCAAATTTGCATTTGGTTTAGATGTGCTCAAAGACACATCCAGCCTACGTACAAAAATTGTCCCTCGCCATTTAGTGTGCACCTGCGCATTTCCATCAGTTATTATTGTCACAGCGCTGATCGTCTGCTTGGTGTGCATTTAAAGTCGACATTGCTTTCGCGGTAAGTAAGAGTCTCGCCAAGTGTCAGTAAGTTTCTATCTTAAAAACTACCCCGGTAGTTCTGATTATTCAAAGTAAAGTGTCTAAAA